AATTTATTTATTTATTTATTTATTTATTTATTTAATTTATACCCCGCCTATCTGGCCCACCGGACCACTAACAGGGTTTTCAAGGTAAGTGAGATATTTAAGGAGTGGTTTTCCCAGTTCTGCTTTCCCACAGTCAGTTCCCATAGCTGAGCGGGGATTCAAACCCTCTTCTCCGGATTCTTAGTCCTGTCACTCTTTATCTGCTGTACCACACTGGGAATCAATGAAGCAACTAAGCATACAAATTATTAAAATACCATCCTGCATTTTACATTTGAATCTGGAAATCGAATGTATGTTTTTTACTGTCCAGAAGGTCAGCTTCTGAATTTGCTCCAATGGCTCGGAAGCTTCGCGATGGGCATTTAATGGGGATTCAGTTCAGTGAGCGCTAATTAAAACCACGTTTTTAAAAAAAATATCTTTCCCGTTTTCTCCCCGTTGCAGCCTGCAGCGTGCAGTAACCCACATGCCCGGAGAACACCTGGTGGATTCAGTACCTCAAAGCCGAGCAAGCGAAAGGCAGCCCTCTTTACCTCAAACCTGTCTGTGCAGTAAGGACGTGTGAAAGTTGGTAGAGAATTCTTGCACACAGCTGGGGGAAAGGCTGTCACGCCCTGAGGTTGTATATGTTGTCATGGTTTGTATAGTGTGATATATTTAAACTGGTATCTTGTAAAAAATTGAGTTCCATGAGTGATGCTATAGAGCTCTGGTTCCCAACGGTGGGCTCCCAGATGTTGTTGGACTGCAGCTCCCAGAAGCCCGGGGGTTCTGGGAGTTGTAGTCCAAGAACATCTGGCGACCCAAGCAAAGAATTCCTGCAAAGCATTTGATGCAAAGAACGAGTGGGCAAGATGTAGCTTGAGGGCCACATGTGGCTTCACCACTTTTTTTTGGTGGCCTCTGGAACCCCACTCTACGCAAGGGGATGTACATAAAGAAATAAAGAATTTCAGTCCAGAAGCGTGATTTTTGCCCGTGAATCCCATCACCTGCCACCAACACCTCGACATTGGAGGATGATCGAAACAGGGAGTTCCATCATTGTGATGAAGCTACAAAACTCAGGCCCTGCAAAACAGCCATGGCCAAAGTTTTGCCAACAATACCGAAGTGCGAGACTCAGTTTTTGAACGTGAGATTCAACCATGGGGCTCAAGTGACAGTAAGCCGGATTTTGGTTGAATATCAGGAAAAACTTCCTGTTAGAGCAGTATGATGATGGAACCAATTCCCTTGGGAGGTGGTGAGCGCTCCAGTGTTGGAGACATTCAAGAGAAACAACAACCTGGCAGATAGATATCCTTTGATTTGGATTCCTGCCACGAGCAGGGGGTTGGACTTGATGGCCTCATAGGCCCCTTCCAACTTCGCGATTCTAGGATAGTTCTCACAGCTGCCCATGCAAACATGCCTCTGGAAGAAAGATGTGGACAGGCTTGGGACTGACCTGAATGGATGAGAAGCACAGGATTTTTGTGGGTTTTTCCCCCCTGCTTTGGCTCTACCCTCCACCCACAAAGCGTACAGCAGCGCACGGTTCCCTGCCAGCACCATCTGCCCCTCTGTCTTCCCAGGGCCCTTTTGGGATGTTATTAATAGATTGCCGTTTCATCTGTGCTCACGCCTCTTGGCATCGATAAGGGAGCCCCCTTGGCCACAGTTTGGGTGGAATCTAAATTTACTTCCCGTTCTCTCTCTCTCTCTCTGTGCCATTCTCCCGGCCGTTTTCTCTCATTAAAAACAAGAACGGACACCTTTTTCTTGAACGTCCAGCTTTGCAAGGTTTTCCAAGAACTCAGCCTCTCTCCAGCTTAGCTCTCAACAGGATAGTTAGTCCTTTATAAATGAGTCTGTGCCAGCGGTGGGCACTCTCAGCAAGCCCCACGGCCATTTTTCTGATTTACCAGCAGCCCAAGGAAGAGGGGCTACAGGGGAGGGGGGTGACCAAGGAGGCTAATAGGCATAATGCATTTCTTCTTTAATTTTTTTAAAGGAAGTTTTCAGTGCAATGGTTGCTTACGGTTTTGGTTCTTACAAAGGCTTCTCATTGATTCAAAAGCATTTAATAATGGTTTTTGGAATTGGTTTCTTGAAATGAGAACTTTCTCTGGTGCCCCCTTGTGGCTCGAAAGGGCTATCAAAACATGGCAGAATGGCTCCCAGTGGCCCCCAGAGTGCAGGGGGGGCACCTTTTGTGCAACATTTTCTGCAGGTGTAGGAATTCGGGGAGAGTCACCCACCCATCAGCTGCAAGCGGCCTACTCTGATCAGAGAGGAAGGGAAGATAGATAAATCTGTTTATTTAAAAATTGCAGAAATGTTTGCCTCTTTCCCCCCCCCTCCTTTCTTCTAAGGAGTTCTCCTCCACCCACTTTCACAACCACCCTGCAAAGTAGCTCAGACGGAGAGAGGCTGCCCCATGGTTGCCTGGTGAATTTCCTGGTTCAGTGGGGATTAGCTCCCCATTAAGTTTTCGTCCAGGACTGGCCACAGTATGTTGCCTCGTCTCTATTAGTTATTTCTTACCTTTATATCCCTCTTCTCTCCAATGAACTCCAGCGTCTTTTATTTTGTCCTCACAACAACCCTCTGAGGTAGGCTAAGGCAAGAGTCAATGACAAGCCAAGGTCACCAAGTGCATTTCATCAGTGGGGATTTGAATCGCGGTGTCCTAAATCCTAAGACAACGTTCAGCCTTTGATCATCCCCATCTTAGGATGCACCCACCAATGGTCCATCCACCCAAAGATCAGCACCATGTTTGAAGAGAGCTGTGGTCCAGGTTCCCCCGCTTGGGCTTGTCTGGTGCTGATCAGGCAGCCACTGATCAACACCGGACAAGTCCAGCCGACTTCCCACAATGCCCTTGGTGCAGCATGCCCCCAGGGCATTATGGGAAATGTTTATTCCAGCAAGCTGGGCAGGAATCTGTGTTAGCCCTGCCAGTGGCACAGTGATGCTTGCCTGTGTTGTTGCAAGGCCCCACCCCTTCTCATTCTGAGTGTGGGAAGGAGAGGAAGGAATAAATGGTGAGGCAACCAGAGAGGAGAGGAAAGAATACGCTAGCCGGGTCAAAACGGGTTCGGTTGCAAAAATGGCTTGTCCTCCCATGGAAACATTGGAAAGCAAAACGGCTCCTACAGGCATTGAGCCACCATCTTGTAGTTTGGATCAGGCAAGATAAGTCGTCACATCAGGATCTTCCAGTTCCTTGCAGGACTCTGGCTCAGGTTTGTGAAACTCTAGACAGAAACGGCCACTTCGACGTTTCCAGACGGCACTTGGGATGCTTTCAAAGGGATGTAAAAACGTACAGGTGAATGTCCAGGTCCTCACCAGAGACTCCCGGATCCCTCCCTGGTCATGCTGACTGGGGTGTATCGGAGCAGTAATCCAAAATTCCTGGATGGCAACAGCTGGGCGACTGAATCTCAAAGTAAATTCCAAGTCTCTTGAGTTCTTCACTCCAGCTATTTTTTCAGAAATTATTGGATTTGGAAGGTTGTTCAAGGAAGCCGTCAGCTATCATTCCTTATATTTATATAGGAGCTTCGTAGTGCAGTGGTTAAACTGCAGTACTGCAGTGAAGGCTCTGTTCACAAGCCACCCAGAGAGGGCTTTCAATCCTCTGGGCTAGTCTATAAGCAGCACTCTAAGCTGTCCTTGATACAATCACACACTTTCACAACACAGTTCTCGCTGGCCTGGCAAGTGGGCAGCCCAGAACCCCCAGCTGCTGGGGGAAGGCTGGGCCGGGCCGGGTTGGAGGGCCGCTCTCAAGCGCAGGCCCAGGGCGTCCCAGCTGTGCTCTGATAGGGGCCGGGACAATTTTGAGGCTGGCTGACCAGGAGGGGGGCCCAGATGGCCGAGAACCTGACAGATTGCCCCAGAGGAGGTGGAAACCCCCGCCAACGCCGCAGGCAGTGGAGGGTCTCCTCACCTCCAGCCGATCTGATCCTCAGGCTCCAGTTGGAGGCTGATGGTTCTCTTGAATTCAGATCCATCGCCACCACCCACTTCCTCTCCCCCCCCGCCACCTTATTCTCTTCCTGGCCTCTAACAGCTGGGGCCAAGGGGCTACACATGGTCCAAAGAAGGGTGAGAGGCAGGGGGGTTGATATGTAGGGGGGCCCCTGGGTTTACTGCCCTTCTCCTGGCAACTCAGCCATGCCGTATGAGATACTGGGCAGCTTCTTTAAGATGAAGACTAATCATCCTTAGCCAGTTTGTAATTGGCAATACAATCTGGGAATGATAGTTTTTGTAGTCTGGCCACTTTGGGTCAGTTTAAGGAGAAAGGTGGGGTAAAATATTTTAAATAAACCAACCAATCAAATAAATAAAATTGTATTAGAATTAAAATTCAGCCCCTTGCATTCTCAATTTACCTTTGACCAATGTCCATTCTATGGTGCTGTGCTGCATTCTCGCTTCTACTGTATGATGGATATGAATGCCTATGTATTTTAAAAGGCAGAAGCATTCAAAAGGTGGATTTGTTGCACAAGGTTAATAAATCTTGAACACAGCGAGTGACCAGGAAAGAAAGGATAAGATGAAGGGATAATGAAAAGCACTGAACACCAAACAATGGGAAAGTACGGACATTTTGGGTAGCTTTATGAGAAAAAAGCATACAGATTGTGACAGCTGATCATTCAGCGTCAATTAAATAGGATAGCAGGGAGGAGAGTTTATCAGCTGAAGAATTTGGGAGGAGAGAGGCTCAAATGTGATGCAACCTCATGGTTTAGAGCTGCCTCCCCCAAATTTGGATTCGCCAGGAAGGGGGTTCAACCTCGTTTGAGAAAGGAACAAGAAGAAGCCATTTTCAAGGAGTGCCATATAATCAATTTATTGCAGCTGTTTCGTTCTAAGGTATCAGTGTGTGCGTGTGTGCGTGCATCTATGCACGTGCCCGGTGACTCATGCCTAGAGAAAGATGGGGCAGAGAAATCTTTCAAGCAGACTCCTTCCCCCAGGTGTCCAGAGAAAGATGCACCTGTCTCCCTTTATACCCATGGGGTGGGGGAAGAACAATACATTAAAGACCCTTCCCCCCACATGTGTTGAGGCAAATAAGATGGATGATCTACGAACATGGTGTGCCAGGTGTGCAGTCTAGTTTGGATCGTTGAGTACAAACACCCGGGTTATCCTACGCAGTGTGTTGGCCTGACGCCGGAAGGTGAAACAGCCACCCACCTCCACAGAGGCTTTCGGGACCGCAAGCCTTTGACCAAAAGATTAGGACAACCCACGACACGAGACACTTCAGTGAAGAGCGTCACATGGTCTCGCCAGTTCTTGGAGGAGAAGTTCAAACCATGAGAAAAAGAGAGTCAGAAGATGTAAGTGCAGAAAGGGATCAAGCTAAAATCAGCAGGTCTCGGGGCGCCGTCCCGAAGACCCTTGCGTCCCCTTGGGAACGTTCTGTGCCCCACGTTCTATATCGGCCATCTGGCTTCCAGCACCCGTGGACCCAGAGCATCAGAAGGCAGCGGACGGCAATGGATTTTGTTGTAGCGTTGGCCTCTTTCGGATTGTTGTGGCTCTCTTGCTTTTGGGAGCCCTGGGGAGACAGCGCTGGCAGCAGTGTCCGGGCTGGACGCGCATGGGGGACTGCCCGTGGAATTCCTTGCAACGCCACAGACCATCTGAGGAGATAACCTCCTGTCAAAGCATTGTGGGAAATGACTCCAAGCCACAGCATCCATCATCTGAGTGTTGGGCAAGAGCAGCCACCCCTCCTTCAAAAAAAAAAAGAGAGAGAGAGTCAGCATCAGGCCATGCTGAGCCTGTGGCAGCTTCCGAGAGATTCTGAGTGATGACACGTCCCTCCGTGCTCAGCATCTGACAGACGTGGTTTATAAGCCGTTCACGGCTGCTCGGCTGCTTTCCAGATTAAACTGGGTTGCATCTGCCATCGTCCCCAGCCAGTTTGTAATGGGCCATCC